ATGTAGTCTGGTGACTCTCTTTCAGAGCCCTGCTTCACACTGCAGGACACAGGAGCTAGCACAAGTCTAAGCAGCCAGGAATTGCCATCTTTGGGAGAAGATGCCGCTTGGTTTAAATCTTTCCAATGGTCTTCAATGATTTATCTCTTGGCAATGTAGGAACCAATGAAACAAACATATTTCCATCCCTGACTTCTGGGACTCAGGTAAAAGATCTATTAATAGGAGTGAAAGGCCTGATGGACTGGCCAAGGCCTGGAGCCCAGAGGTTAGTTTTAGAGGAGCCATCTGGGGCTTGTTCTTAGGCCTCAGTGAAAGAGCCAGTGAGAGCCCAGAACACGGTGCAATAAATTAGGAAGACAGTATTTGGAAGCCTGCTAGTCTGTCAGCCTTTCTCTGCTATAGAAAAATTCTGGTTTGGAGAAGGGAAAAACTTGTCAATCGTTTTCTTCTTCCTTTTTTAATTTTCAAAAACAACTGCACACATTTTGATAGTTAAGAAAGTAAGCAGAGAAGTTAGGACTCATCCAGGTATATACTTCCCAGGTTCACAGGAGAAGAAGTTTCCAGAGCCTTCTCCTTCCGTCTGCTGTGCTGTTCCTGTGGTAGGGAGGGAGAGAGGCATGGCTCTGGGCATCCACCGGAGTAAAATCTAAACTACCCATCAGTTTACCAAACACCCTCACACTTTGTTTCTGATCAATATGACCCACCTGCCTGAAGAGTTCACGTTAAACTTTCAAATATATTGAGTTTCTGATGTAAAAATAAATACCTCCATCATCATAATAATGGGACAGAATGGTTTTAAATGTCAATTCTTTACTTACTAGCCATTTGATTTTAGACAGTTTACTCAACCATTCTGAGCTGCAGTCTCTTCATGTTAAATGATGATTAAGGAAACAAACATTTCATGTAAGAAAGTTAGCACAGCTCATTCATTGCTTTCATCCATTCATTTTGTCAACATGTTTTCTTTTAGTACCAACCCTGTGTCAGGCATTAATGGCATAGGAGTGAAAAGATACATGGTATACTAGCTTATAACAGGCAACTAAATTATGACAGTTATTTTTAAAAAAAACAATTGCAGAAATTTGGAAAATAGAAAAAAAGTATGTTTTTTAAAATTCATAACCCTACTGGCCGTATATAATCAATTTCAATATTTTATGTTATTCCTTGCTTTGACTCATTTTGAATAATAACAATTTAGATAAAACTAAAGCTAAAAATAAATCAACTATAAATGGTGGGCTTTCTGTGAGAATATGTTATAAGTAATGTTTGGAAAATGCTTTTTGCTAATTTTTTCCTATTTCCATACACACAGGTGCATAGCCAAATTTTTAGATTATGAGGATATTTTAATTTGGGAATAAACGAGGCAAAATATTGTGATTTGGAGAAGACAGACCTCATCTTGCGTCTAGGCTCTGCCTCTAACTAGCTGTCTGATCTTAGGAGAAATTACTTCTCTCAAAGATACGTTTTTCTCATCTTCACATTTACTTAAGGTTCTATATATGATATAGATATTACCAATGTCTAAAGGAATATGAACTTTTTGCTATTTTATGAAATTAATAAACGTTTGCCTAAAATTTTATGGTGAGTTTATAACAATTCTGTAGATAGAATTTTAAAGTGTGTGCTTTGACCTAAGGAGTCTATGAGAAAAACAAGTACATTTTAAATATATTTAAAACAAAATGACAGCATAGAGCATATTAAATTTAACTACTGCAGAACTTTCTCATCCTCTCCTAAAACATGCTTTCAGGTATAACTGAACTGAGACCCACCAGTAATCAAGACTTTTTAAAAAAACAAATGAAATTATTTCTGTGAATTTTGGATCATGCAAAGGATTCACTTTAGAGGAGTGAGAGCTTGAATTTTTCTGTTTGGTTTGTTTTATTGTTAATTGACATAATCGTCAGAAGTTTATCAACCTCTGTCATAGTCCCAAAACAAAACATTCTTTTTGTTTAAATAGAGACTGGGTTGCAGGTAATCGGGGAAGTATGCTCAATGTCTCATTTAAGGGACAAATGTCCAGCCATAGAGAGAAGCAACTCATAATTGAAGGTGTCTGGAATAAGACTTCTCCCTCCCTTCTCTTTCAACTACGTAAGACAAGCATAGAGATAATAATGCCCACCTACTTCCTCTGTTCAAATTTCCTTTCCTCCCATTGCTGAGACATTTGCTATTTTTCAAACTTATAGCAGAAAACATGATGTCTGCTCAGCCAGATGTCAGGATATCTTAGGCTCCTTCAAATTCTACATTCATAGGACTTCTAGGAAGTTTTTCAAATCTGCATTATCACCTGTTTAAGCCATTAAGCTGTCCCTCAGAATTCTAACTCTCACCTCCTCGAGCCTACCCTGTGTACCTAGAGTATATTCAATTTGGCAAATGATTTGAAATCATTGTGATTTACGCCCTAACTCATGTCTTCCCACCTAAAGTGTTAGTGCTTAAGTGTAGGGCCACAACTTTAACTTCTCTCCTGTGCCCCATGGCAGCTCGCATTGAGCAGCTTTGATGAATTGACAGTAGAGTTATGACATTTCCCCAGGGGTGGGGAGGCCAGGTTTGTGTGGTGTAAGTGCATACAATATAGAGACAAACTGGGCTCCTCAATTTGTAATTCTTGCTGGAAAAAAAACCCTCATGTTAACAATTTGAATGTCATTTGGTAAAACTATGTTAGAGAAAGATGAACTGAGAAAATGTGACTCATTTCTTGCTGGGAGGGCCACTGACTGATCCAAAAATCCCATTCCTCTCCTCGTTTCCTACAAATGAGTGTTACCCAATCTCATAGACTTCCATTCTTCCATTAATTCCAAGGCTCTTTATTAGTGAGCATCTAAATCAAGTATTGAGAACTATGAAAATAATTTCCATAAGCTAAAATTAATGCTTTACTTGAATTTACTAAAGAATTTAATTAAATATTCTATTAAAACAAAAAAGGAAAAGCACTGGATTTGTGCCTCAACTGGAAAAGCACTTGCTATGGATGCATGTTTGCATGCGCACACTTTTAAGAACATTATTGGAATCCTGCTTAAAAGTGGGATCAACTGGTCCAGGTGGGTCTTGAACCCTCTTAAGCATCTCAAGCAGGAAAAAGGTTAAAATGAAATAAAGATGCTGAGACTCATCTATATTCTAGTTTAGATCAAAACCTTTGTAAAAATGCCCACCCCTCACTATTTCCCACCCACTGAAATGGCTATGAAACAGACAATACTAACGTTGGTGATGACACAGAGAAATTGAAACCATCATATATTGTTGATGGAAATGTAAAATGGTACTACCACTTTAGAAAACTGCTTTGCAGTTTCTTAAAAAGTTAAATACAAAGGTACTATGTGATGCTGATGCTGAGCAAGGGCTCAATCTACTCACTGAAAAATAAAAGGCCAAACAGTGGTAGAGAAAGAACTTTAATAAGCAATAAGCTAGTATATAGGAAGATAGTGGACTACCATCCTAAAAAGACTCAACTTAAAGGGAATCGATTTGGAAATGACTTATATAGGGCAAATGGAGTTGGGAGGGGTCTCAGGAGTGATCTCAGGGTCTCAGGGTCAGGTGATGGATGACCACAGAACACTGGGCACCTCTCTGTAGCAGATGTGCTGAATGCAACATTCCTGAGGAATCTAAGAAAACCTCAGTTCCTTCCTTATCTGGGATGGAAGGAGCAGTTTTGGTAGAGGACCTAAATCTTCTGCTAACAAGTTATTCTTTCTACTGGTTCAGATTAGCTTGCCTACATGCAGTTCTAAATATTTTTCCAAAGCACATTGTGAGAATAAGACAGGGCGGGGAGCATGTGGCCTTGGGAGCTGAACTTCTAAGAGTCCCCTGCGGAGGGGCAAGTGTCTTTCATATTAGTTCATGGGCTACCTGTGCAAATTCAGGGTGAATTCTATGGGTTGCATTCGGTAGATCTTTAGTCTGTGACATATGATGCTTACAATCAGCCATTTTAGCTTCTCAGTGCTCCTGCAAGGTGCTTAGTCAGACCAGGGGCTGGCAGCAAACTACTCTCTTATCAGCAGTTCTCCTGCTGTTGTGCAGGGCAAGCTCAGAAACTGGTTGCTTTGTTTCCCTCTTTAACCTTGTTGGTACAGCACAGTTTCATCCTAATCCAGGGAAACTTTAAGTCCTTCATCCTCAATTTCAACACAACAATTCCACTTCTAGCTATCTAGTCAGGAGAGATAAAAATATATATCTACACAAAGACCTGTACACAGATGTTCACAGCTGCATTGTTCGCAAGAGAAAAAAAGTAGAAATAACCTTCAGAATGAATTAAAAAAATGCGTGTCCACTCAATCGAATCCTATTGGGCAATAGAGAAGAATGGAAATAGTGATACACATGAAAACATGGTGGACTTTAAATACATTGTGCTCAGTGAAAAAAACAAGGCATAAAAGAACACATGTCAATTGATCCATGTACATAAAATGTCCAGAAAAGGTAAATCTGTAGAGACAGAAACAGTGATCATGTAGGGCTGAGGGTGGAAATAGGGAGTGACTGTAAATGGGATTGGAATTTCTTTTTAGGTTGATGGAAATGTTCTAAAATTAGATTGTGGTGATGGTTGTACAACTGTAAGTACCCTAAAGTCCACTGAATTGTAGTTAAACCCAGTGGAGGATGGACTTTAGGGCATCTAAATTATATCTCAAAAAAGTTGTTTAAAAGGAAGCTTCCCAGACTCAGAGAAAAAGGCAAGTAGAACAGGGTACATCCTCTGCTGGACATGACTAGGTAAGGAAAGAGGTCCTCATATCAGAGGTCTGCCCAACTGGAAAGGACATTCAAAATGGAACTCACAGGAAGCACGTTCAAATTGGATTGGGACATTCCTAGACAAAATGACCTAAGACTCCATCATAGATGAGAAAGTAGATCTGTATTTAAAGTTGGGTTAGGCAGTTAGAAAGCAGTTTGTTGTGCTGGCTTCGGCAGCACATATATTACAATTTGAACAATACAGAGAAGATTAGCATGGCCTCTGTGCAAGGATGACTTGCAAATTCATGAGGCGTTCTATATTAAAAATAAAAATAAAAAGCAGTTTGCTACAGTGGTAAGAAAATCAGACCTGGAATTAGATGACCTAAGTTCAGTTAGCTCTTCCATTGACCACTCTGAGCTTCAGCTTCCACATCTGCTCTTATTTATAGCTGTGGCTCATTTACAGAGTACCTTTCATAAAGAGTACCTCCCACCACCAGGGATTCTTTTTAAGGTGACTTTCATGTGTTAACTCATTCAAGTCTTAGAACAACAGAGGGTTTAGGATTATTCCCAGATCTAGATACGGAGAGGTTAGTGAACTTCTGAAAGTCATGCAGCTACTGAATGGATGAACGCAATGATATTTCAATCAAATGGTGTGAGTCCAGGGCCTGAGAGATTTTTCACTTCACCATGCATGCTGTATTCCACAGTACTCTCACCCAGGTGGAAAATTTGAGGAGCATTTCATAAGAAAGTTTTAGAAGTATTCAAAAAGAGAGGTAGCCCGCAGGAACATGGGTTAGAGGGTAGAGAGCCCCTGGTTTTGACCTCTTAGTCCATCATGACCTTGAATAAATGCCTAATTCTCATATCCTCAACTTTCCTAATATGTAAAATGGAAATAATAACAAAATATATTCCCAAGCATTCTGGTATGAACAGAAATGCCAGTAAAGTGTAAAGTCCAGTGCTTGGCCCTTAGTCACAAATGTTTGTTATTATTCTTGGCATTGTTATATGAATGTATAAGAACAATGGGTGGGTCAATAAAGGCTAGTTTAATCTAAATCTGAACCAGTTATATGACTTTGCTTGAATAACTGTCATTCTGGGGATTTTCAAAGCAAACTCAGAGAATTGAACCACATGAGTTCTCAATTCTCCCTCAGATCTAATGATTAATGACAATAATTTATCATGATATTAACAATTACATTAACAATCACATTATCGATTTACTTTGTTAAAAATTCACACAATACCATAAGATTCTGAAATCTACCACTTACCAAACACCAACTACTTAGGTTGTTCTTATCAATCATCACAATTTTCCAAGGTATGCATTATTACACCCCTTTACAGATGGGGACACTGAGATCCAGTTGGTTTCCGATTAGAAGGGAGTTAGCCTCCAAGTTTACCTAGCCGATAAGGGATAGAAAAGGAATTCAGATCCAAGTCTTTCTGGCACAAAAGTACCCACTATCATCCACTATATCAGTTGTCTCCCCAAACGTTACCTGATGCTTGTAGTTCACTTTTTTTTCCCTGAGGAAGATTCACCCTGAGCTAACATCTGTGCCAATCATCCTCCATTTTGTATGTGGGTCGCCTCCACAGCGTGGCCACCAACAAGCAGTGCAGGTCCATGTTCAGAAACTGAACCTGGACTTCCAGAGCAGAGCACCCTAAACTTACCAACTAGGCCACAGAGCCAGTCCCTGAAATTCACTTTTTATTCTACCTGGAAAAGTCAAAGTGAAGGTGAATTGCTGCTGTTGAGATGTTGTTCTCAAAAAGCCAACTCCATCTATATACTTCAGGCATGCCATATCCCACATCCAGATTACAAAGGAATAAAATGAAGGTGAGGTGATTCATTGTGTTAAAAATGCATCAGAAGATGAGTAACTTTAAATTTCTTCCAAAGAAGCATTAACACATCATTGGATTTCTATAAACTCAATTAGTACACAATTTCAGAAGGGCCACCTGTTCTACAAAGAGAGGCCACTTGTGCCAGCCAAGGAGCTGTTGTTAACTGGCCAAGACCTCAGGAACTTGTTTTCAATTAGTTTAATCATTAATATGATTTGATTTTCTGGGTGTGAGCCCAGCCCTTGAGAGGCTAACAGCACTTTCCTGAAAAGGATTCCAAGAATTTCTACCTCCAAGACAAAGGAGGAGAGTGGGAAGTGGGAGAATTGAAAGTCAGGAAATCAAGTGGCTCATTCCTACACTTTCATGACTGAGCAGAAGTTTTAGAATAGCAACAGACGCTGAGGCCCAGGTGAGCCTAGCTAAGATTGTGACATTCTGTGCCAAGACACATTTTATACCAGGTTCAATAGTCTTTCTAAGGATACAACTGAGGTCAGTGTCTTCTGAGTTCTTGGGTGCTAGGAGACTAATTCTCAAAGCCAGTTAAAGTGAAGAAATCCAGTTATTCTCTCATCACATGGCACCAACATCACCTAACTTTGAGTATTTCTATAGTCTGGTGACTTGATTCTAGCCCCACAACCAGAGTTCATCCTTTCCCTCCCCAATGTATATAACTTAACCTCTAATCGTGCCTGAGTATTTAAAAAGTATTGTAATAAATTTCAAAAATACACAAAAGTAGAAGACTCATATAATAAATCTCAATATGTCTAACTTCTGGGTTTAATAATTATCATCTTCTGAATAATCTTATCTCATCAATACCCCCATTCATTTATCCCTCCCCCATTGGATTACTGTGAAACAAATCCCAGACATCATATCACTTCATAAAGAAATATTGCAGCAGGCAAGCCCGGTGGCATAGTGGTTAAGTTTGCATGCTCCACTTTGGCAGCCTTGGGTTCACAGTTTCAGATCCTGGGTGCGGACCTGTATACTCTTCATCAAACTATGCTGTGGTAGCATCCCACATATAAAGCAGAGGAAGATTGGTGCAGGTATTAGCTTAGGGTAAATCTTCTTCCAGCAAAAAGAGGAAGATTGGCAACAGATGTTAGCTCAAGGCCAATCTTCCTCACCAAAAAAAGAAAGAAAGAAAGAAAGAAATATTTCAGGATGTATATATAAATGATAAGGACTTTCTCTTAAAATTAACTATGGGACCTCTTTCATGGCGTAGTGCTTAAGTTTGGCACACTCTGCTTCTGCGACCTGGGTTCACAGGTTCAGATCTTGGATGCAGACCTACACCACTCATCAGACATGCTGTGGTGGCAGCACACATATAAAATAGAAGAAGATTGACATAGATGTTAGCTCAGGGCTAATCTTCCTCACAAAAAAAGTTAATTATAATACCATTATCATTACTACTAAAATTAAAAAATTATTTCTTAATGTCATTGAATATTCAGTCCCTATTCAAAGTTACCCGACTGTCCCATAGAGTAAATATACAATTATCTGTTCAAATCAAGATTCACATAAAGTCTGAATGGTTGATACATCCTTTTAGTCACTCGGAACCTGCAGTTTCCCTCTCTCTGTTTTTGTTTTTTGGGTTTTTTTGTGAAGAAGTTAGGGGCCGTAGAGTTTTCCATTGTCTGAATAAATCAGTGTGGTATCTTTTAACATGTTCCTCTTTCTCCTCTATTTTATTTCGAAATTGATAATTGAATCTAGAGACTCAACCAGAATGAGTTGATATTTCATCAAGAATATTTCATAGGCCATGTGTACTTCCATCAGAAGACACATACCGTGGGCTGTCTTCCTTTTTGTAACATTAGGAGCCATCAATAACTACTATTTCTCTTGAGATTGAAAAATAGTAGTATTCTAATTCTACAATCTCTTCATTTATTAACCAGAGTGCTTGCATAAATAAAAACCACTATTTAGTAGCTATTTGGTTACTCTCATATATAGTTTCTAAAGGAAAATAGGGATAAATGCTTAATTCTTTCCTCTAATTTATCAGTTTTCAAAATAACAATTTGGTTCCTAGATTCCTCTAAAGATGATCAATGAGATTTCATTTACAGTATCATTATGAATTCATGGATTTAATGTATTTGATTTGTACAATCTATTCCTTTGATTCTTATTAATGCTCAAATTATCCTAAATTTAGCCAGTGGGAGTCTCTTCAAGATGGTTTCTGAGAACTTTTGAGGCAACCCTAGAAATATTCAACAGCTTTCTTTTTTCTGTATGGAAGATGCATTTTTTCCTTTCTTTTTTTTTAAGAAATTAGCCCTCAGCTAATATCTGCTGCCAATCCTCCTCTTTTTGCTGAGGAAGACTAGCTCTGAGCTAACACCGTGGCCATCTTCCTCTACTTTATATGTGGGACATCTGTCATAGCATGGCTTGATAAGCGATGAGTAGGTCTGCACCCAGGATCTGAACCCGCGAACCCCAGGCTGCCAAAGCAGAGGGTGGGAACTTAACTGCTATGCCACCAGACTGGTCCCCAAGATGCATTTTTTTAATTTCATATTTTTAAATTTTTTATTGAGATATAATTGACATAACAATGTGTAAGTTTAAGGTGTACAACATGTTGATTTGATACATTTGTATGTTGCAATATGATACATTTGTATGTTGCAATATGATTGCCACCATAGAATTAGCTAACACCTCCATCACATCACATAATTATCATTTCTTTTTTGTGATGGGACATTTAGGGTCTAAAAATAGTCAAGAGATAACAAGTGGTAAAGATGTGGAGAAAAGGGAACACTTGTGTACTGCTAGTGGGAATGCAAATTGGTACATCCACTATGGAAAATAGTACGGAGGTTAAGATAGAGCTACCATAAGATCCAGCAATTCCACTTCTGGGTATATAACCAAAAGAAATGAAAGCAAGATATCTAAAAGACATCAGCATCCCCATGTTTATAACAGCATTATTCACAACAGCCAAGATATGAAAACAACCTTAGTGTTTGTCAATGGATTACTAGATAAAGATGTGGCATATATATGTAGTGAAATATCATTTATCCATGAGAAAAAAGGAAATCCTGCCATTTTCAACAACATGGATGGACCCAAAGGGCATTATGCTAAGTGAAATAAGCCAGACGGAGAAAGACAAATACCGCACACTGTCACTTATATGTGGAATCTAATTAAAAGAAAAATTCAAACTCATAGAAGCACAGATTAGAAAACCAGTTGCCATAGGTCAAGGGGTAATGGAAATGGGGAGAGGCTGATAAAGGGCACAAACTTACAGTCAGAAGATGAATAAGTTCTAGGGATCTAATGCACAGCTTTGTGACTATAGCTAATACTGTACTATATACTCGAAAGTTGTTAAGAGACAAAATACATTTTAATGATTTTTAG